AACAAGCGCGCAATAATTTAGAGCTAGAAGCCCTGAAAGAACAGCTTAGTGAGTTAGAAACATCCAACTCAATACTTTCTGCTGAGTTGCAACAAGCACATGAAAAATTAAAATGTGCCCCTATTGATTATATTGCTGATTCAGCAGAAACGATTTTGGAATTGCAAAAGAGATATGATTTGGATAAATCGACATGGTACGAAGAGAAGCAACGTTTAAGCTCAGAAGTGAGCGAAAAATGTAAAAATCTACGTGACTTACAAGCGGATGAAATTCAAATACTTAAGGAATTACAAGTCAAGCGAGAAGCAATAAACCATTGGGAGCTCCAAATGGCAGAAATTATTCAATGGGTATCGGATGAAAGAGATGCTAGAAGTTATTTACAAGCGCTAGCTACAAAAATGACTGAAGAAATAGAATATCTCAAACATGTTGGAGCCTTAAATAATAATGCTGTAGATCATAAAAATTGGAGAAATAGGCGATCACAAAAATTGGATAAAATGGAGTTACTCAATTTGCAAAGTGCTCTTCAACGCGAAATTCAGGCAAAGGCATTTATAGCTGAAGAGCTTAGTCAAACCAGGGCTGAACTTATTTCTACCCAAAAGGAAGTTTGTGATTATAAAAAACGATGCGACAATATTCTATATGATTTAAAGAAAAAAGAAATCGAACTTAGAGACATACAGAAAATTGATGTTGCATATCCGGACTCTTTTTTAAATAAATCATCGCATCATAACAACGCTTTCTTCAAAGATATTTCTATAAACCCTGATGTGATAGACTCTGAAGAATCATATGTCAACGATGCCAGGGATAGTATTTCTTCCGCATCTAATTTGTTTCAAGCGTCTAATAGTGGAATGCTTTTTAACTACGAATCAAAATATTCACTTAAAACAGTTAAAGACAATATAAGTGTTAAAAATTCTACAATTAATGATGACATTAGATCTGAAAATAGTTCCAACTATGAGGAATCCAAAAAAAAGCCCAACAATTCTTCAATTCATCAATTCCTTGTACGAACATTTAGTAGTCCTACCAAATGCAACCACTGTACTTCTTTAATGGTGGGATTAACAAGGCAAGGCGTTGTTTGTGAAATTTGTGGTTTCGCATGTCATACTGTTTGTTGTCAAAGAGTTCCGACTATGTGTCCAGTACCCATGGATCAAACTAAGAGGCCTTTGGGTATAGATCCCACAAGAGGAATTGGAACAGCATATGAAGGATATGTTAAGGTTCCCAAATCCGGTGTCATAAAACGAGGATGGATTCGTCAATTTGTGGTCGTGTGTGACTTTAAACTCTTTTTGTATGATATATCTACTGATCGGTGTGCTTTGCCTAGTGTAAGTGTATCCCAAGTGTTAGATATGCGTGATCCAGAATTTTCTGTTGGCAGCGTCCGGGAGAGTGACGTTATTCATGCTGCTAAGAAGGATGTCCCGTGTATTTTTAAGGTAAGACTTTCAGAATATATAAATAATTTATAGTCCAATAAGATCTAATATTGAAAATTGCATCAAGATCGGTTAAGAAACACAGATGTTATTAAAGAAAACGTGTGGTTGTATATACATATATTGGCACGTATTAGCGGCAGCTAGCGCAAAGCCCAAGAATTTTTGTATACCTGTTTCCCCAGTCGGAAACACCCAACTAGAGCCTCTTGTTTTGTTTCTCCGATCTGATGTACACACTGCAAATAATGTGAATTTACGCGAAAAGACAATTACGTAAAACAACTTAAAAGATGTTAAATTAAAGTAAACTCACCCTTATTCATACTAAAAATTCATCTTTTTAGATTAAAACGTCTCTTATTGAAGGAGGAATCTCATTAAGCACTTTGATGTTGGCGGATAATGAATCGGAAAAGTCCAAATGGGTAATCGCATTGGGAGAACTTCATCGCATTTTAAAACGAAACAATTTACCAAATACGGCCATTTACAAAGTAAACGAAATATTGGACAATAATTTGTCGCTTATACGAAACGCACTATGTTGTGTTATAACTTACACAAATCAAATTTTACTAGGAACAGAAGATGGGCTGTTCTATTTAAACCTAGATCAATATGGTGAGTAATAAAAACATATATTTTCATTACGTTAAATCATGTAAGAAAGTTTCAGTTGAGTACTCCAACTATGCAATACTCAGAATACACAATAATCCTTTCTAGAAAATTAAAATTATTTTTAATTTCTACTGAGGGACACTATGTTCTGCTCTACCAACTGCTTTGTAATTTAAACCATTCATTTTATTTTAAAATCTGCTTGTTTATAAAAAAAATGAAACCAATCCAAATTTTTTCTTTCAGAAATTGCGCGTATTGGCGAAACAAAAAAAATTTTGCAATTGTGGTATATTGAAGAAGAGCAGATAATTGTTATTCTTTGTGGAAAACAGCGACATTTGAGGCTTTTACCGATAAGAGCTTTGGAGGCAAGTGACGTAGAATGGATAAAAGTAATAGAGTCTAAAAATTGTATTTCTGCTTGTACCGGAATAATACGGCGTTATCCAAGTATTGTGTATTCATTTATTATTGCGTTAAAACGACCCAATAACCACACGCAAATCATCGTTTATGAAATTAATCGAACGCGTACCAGACACCAAAAGACTTGTGAGTTCACGATCGGATATTTAGCTCAACATCTTCAAATATTGTCAGATATGCGCCTTGTTGTTGCTCATCAAAGTGGATTTACAGCCTATTTTTTGAGAGGAGAAGCAACAGCAATGTGTAAGTATAACAAATATTTTAAATATATTTATGCGGCCTCATGATAAATGAAAACTATAAAATAACTAAACAGATAATAACTAATAGATAATCAAGGTTTAACTGTTTATTAATTGGTAGATAACTATAAATACTTTTATTGAAAGAAAACAATGATTTCTCTTTTAGCTCTTGTTCATCCAGAAAATCAATTATGTGCGTTTTTGAATTATTCTGGTGTTGACGCTGTTCGAGTAATTGAAATACTTTCCCCAACCGGAGGAACTTTTGGAGAATACCTCTTGGTATTTCAAACTCTAGCAATATATGTTGACTTACAAGGGCGAAAATCTCGAGATAGAGAAATAATGTATCCGGCTTTTCCCACTTATATAAGTAAGTATTATTGCTCCTTTCCAAACAAGTTTTTAAATCCTGATCCCATTGAAAATGATACAAAATGTATAAGGGTTTTTGTGCACATGGATGTAACAGCTCCGGGTTACGTTCATTTCCAATATGCATTTCTGCGGGGTCTTAAAAAATAAAATTTTGTGAGTGATATATATTTAAATAACGATCGTCATACTGTTATGTTTGCAGCATATTCCGATGGTCATTTGTTGGTATTCTCGGAGACTCATCTGGATATATTCAACACACAAACCTCTGAGTGGGTTCAATCTATTGGCATAAAACAGTCACTTCCTCTGAATAATATAGGCAACGTTGTTTTAACATCTATCAATGATACGCCTTTGATTATCTACTTGGCAAATATTCATACAAGTAAGTAGTATATCCTGATAAATTTATATTGGTTAGTTTTAACTAAGTGATTTTAAATATGAATAATTGAATTGTGTGGGAATGAGAGTTATTCAGTTGGTTGCACTTGAACATTATTCAAATTAAAATTAACTTATTTTTCCTTCCAGAGGGACAATTGCACCATCATGATGGCGACCAAAAGGGAGTCGGTAACATTAAGCGTAGATTTTCTCTTAGAGAAATTAACAAAACAGTTAAAAGGTAAGTACTGAAAATATGCTTGAGTTTTAAGTAAAGGAATGGCAGTCGAAGTCTTGCTTCGCAGAATCGGAAGCTATTGGATGATGTTTTGCTTTTGAGGGCTCTGCAATATTATTTTCTTGTATCTCATAGTTAGTTATTTTAAAAAACAACAGGTAGTCTATATCTATGAAAATGTAATTTTCTACTTTCAAAATACTTTCAGTGATCGAAGATCAAAAATGATATCTGGTCCAACTAATTTCAACCACATTTCTCATATGGGACCTGGAGACGGTATTCAAAATCAACGATTATTAGACTTACCAACCACTTTAGAGACAGCCGAACACACAAGTAAACAGCTTATAACTTCATTAAATTCCGTGAACCAAATAAGAAAAAGTAACTTACTGGATCAAGGTATGTATTATAAATATGTGTACTCATTTGATATTTAAAAACTGTATAATTATATTGTTGGTGGTTTGCCGATATTTGGCTTTAAGGTATACTTTAGCTAAGAATCGTAACTTAATAAATACTATAATATAATATAAATATATTGTTAACTTATTAAGAGAAACTTGTATTTCCCAGCTGACGGTAACTCTGAGGATTTCGGTAAGGATAACATGCTGTCTAGGACTCCCAGCCCAATACGCACGTTACGTTCTGATGACCTAAACAATATTGATTAACATGTAATAGGTACATTAAATTAAATGATTGCCGAATAAAATTGAATAAAATTTAACTAATGTGATATTTGTTATATAATTTTCTTACAGATTATGCGTGAGTAAAATCAATTTTTCTACATTTTGAAACTAAATGTACCATGTATCCGTTGAATATATATGATTCGGTTACCTCCTATTCCTTTCTCTGAATTGATTCGACAAGAATCGATAGCGTTACTCGCCCTATTAAATAAATATAACTATTTTGTTTGGGAGCAAGCTTAACTTTAGTTCGATTGCTTTCAAACTCCTTTTTAAAGCTCACAATAAAATAAAGTAAACTTTTTTCGCTCTAACTCTGGCACCTTTTAAACAGCTGCTTCAGCGCATTATAGGAGAATACATATTTAAAATCAAAATGCAATTTATATTAACCTTTTTTAACGTTATCTTTATTAAAAAATATATATATTATAGTACAAATAATTTTCTTAGTAACTAAGTCTTTGGGTTAAAAACTACAATTTGGTAGTGCTAATTCTAATGGTAGTTATTTTTTGTTCTCAGAAGTGAAAAAGCATATTATGATATTTAGGGTAGTTAAATATTCTTAACACAAATTCCAACTAGCAGCAAACTTAACGACAAAGGTGCCACCGATCTGGAACCGTTTGAATTTAATTGAATGCTATCGATTAAAAGGTTGTATGTGCAACTGCTGGGTGGTTTAACAAATGACGTGAAGTTAGGATAACGTATTATCTCGGAGGGCTGTAATTGGAAAATTAATTGTATTCTATAGTGTTTTTTTTTACTTGACTTACGATTGACATCGACTCGTTGGAAACACGACAAAAAGTCATATGCTTTCCTGTTATCATAGCATGCTCCACGCGTTTTGTGAATAATGGCTCTGACCAAGGTAGCTGATTTATATGTGAAAGGAATGTGCGATCATGAAATTCTACCGGATCCGAAATTAGCAGTTTGTCTAAAAGAAGATAAAAAAGAGAAAAATTAGTTATATGTAGCTTAATATACAATAATCATTTGATTTGTTTTTTAATTGCCAATGGAGAAAAAGGCAATATATTTATTTAAACACAGACTCTAAACAAGATTCTTGTTAAATAAATAATAAGAAAATAAACAAATCTTTTTGATAAAGACTATGTTAAGTCGAGAGACTAGATTTTAATTAGAATAGATCGACGGAAACGGCCCTATCGAATTAGCTGTTAATACTGATCAAGAATATATAGATTCATTATGATGTCTGAGAAATCAATTCCAGTACATTTGAAGTCCTATTCAATATTAAACAAAAAAGATCGCATACTTAATAAAGATCCTTCGACGACTATGTCTTCAGCGCTCATATTGGTTTGGTTAGGCTTTGTTTTCGCATATATCGTATTTGGCATGTAATCTAAGAGATTTCCGTTGTATAAAAACAAATTTTCCACATCAGTCATATTTAATGAATAGAACTGATTAACTCCGAACATCTCAAAAAATTCACGCACTGGCGTCATGCTGTAACAACCAGCCAATTCGATTTTCGGATAATATGTGATAAAAGACAAACACATTTCATGTTTAGTCGAGTATCCACCGAATGTGGCTCTTTTACGATGCGTCGTGTCATAGGCGCAGTCTGTAATAATAAAATCTCCAGGCAGGACAACCGTCTCGTTAGCCAGCTGGTGAAATTGCTGATATTTATAATCATAGTTATCATCTTCAATGATGCGTTGCAATTCCTTGCCGCCTCGAATATGTCGCAGGCTCATTTTGCGACCAGCGCGGTGCGTATGAAGAGTACCAGATATAATTTTAATGCCATCCTCGGGAAACAACTGAAATCGTTAATTGTTAGATACATTAGACTTGATAAGGACGTTTACAACTTACTACATTTGAACATGAAGGTCCACAAATACCAACATTACGGTACAACTTTTGTCCAGGTGGAATAATTTGGGTGTCGGAAATAGAAACTCCGCTGATTATGATACCCCCATCGTTGGCACGTAGTTGAGGCGTATAGTGAATTCTAAATCCGGAATGATCTACGGCTGTTGACAATTTCATATATATATATTTAAATGCCAAACATTCGTTTTGCGTTTGAGGTGCTGGCTTACCGCGCAAAGCCTTTGGATTATCATAATGTATTTCGAGCATATAATATTTGACGCCCGAGGAGCCACCTATTGGTATGCCAACATGGTGAGGCAAAAATTGGCCTGTAGAACCGACAGACCAAACGGCCACTGGTGTGGAACAAGAATCCCAGTCCCGTGGCGTCAACGAGTTGCTGTTGCATACAGTGCCAGTACTTCTTACCCAAACGTCCCACGACTCGGAATCTGAACCAGGATATGATTTCGCGGAGCATTCAAAAAGAGTCATATGATGGACAACTGTATCATCCGCTGTACTGTATATAAAGTATTAATTTACTTAAGTAGACTTATGAAGTTTATATGCGCTACTTACGAAACATGTGTTAAAAGTGGCTCATAACCAATTATATGGTGTTTTCGATGCAAAATAGGAGCTCTTATTATTTTACACCAATAGAGAGTATCCATCGAAGGCTCAAGAGTCACATTATTAACAACAATGTCCCACTGGTGAGTTAACTGATTGTTTGTCTTATTTTGTTTTCGAAAAACTGGATTCATTAAGAGCAGTGGCTTAGCACCACGATTCTGACCATGTCCCTCTAAATTACCATGTATCGGATCGATTTTGCCAAAAGACCACAAAACTTTAATCGTGTCATGCTTGAATATAATAAATTAAAATAAGTTGAGTTGAAAACCTTTTGAGATAATATACATACGCCTAATGGAATATCGTAGGGATCACACGTTTCAAGCAAACGCTTAAATGCGACATAAGTATGCGTGCCATTTTGGTAGCCATCGATAACGTTGTAGTTTTGCGTATCATCCTGTATAGGTGCTCCATGCGCATGTTGTATTGAGCCATGACAATCCTGTGCAAAAAAGTATTGTTTCTCTTTATCAATGGGAATAGCTTGTGCTTGTCAATGTTAATTGAAAATCTTGTAACAACTGTAGTAAGATTTAAATATAGATTGGGACAATTGCAGCCATGCAAGTGCCCTCTTAGGTTCTGTAGCTATCCGAGAACTGTTCGTCTACTTTTGGATTTGGAGTTCTATCTTTATATAATATCAATCCGATTAGAAGATTCACTCAGCCTGGTGCTCTACACCAAAGGCAAATGAGCTATTGTCCTGAAACTATGCCAAGGTCCCTTTTTATGTTGCAGGGACAACCTAGGTCCGAACCGGCTTATTAACAGCTTACTACGATCGAGCAAAAGTTTACATGGGAAAAACTAGAAATGTACGTTTTTGTATGAACAACGTTTTGGTTTATCAAGACACCTATTTTCGTCATTTATACAAATCAACTTATTGTGAGTACAACTTTTTTGTTAATCAAGATACATATCTTGAACAATCCCGACATTTGCTAATTAAACTATGCTGCTTATAGATGAGGCAAATCTTATCAAGATCTACTTCTATATTATAAAGCTCCGAATCTGCAAGGGTAACAAGTACTCGGCACAGCAAAGATGTCCCCACAAATTATTATTTTTAATAAGTTAGACTACCTTCAAGCGTTAAATAGGCAAAGTACGTTAATTTTTTGGCTAAACCTTGAGCGAGCTCGTAGCATTTTATCTACTTGCTATACAATGTTATTTATACTTACGAGTGCGTTTGGTTTTCCAGTCTGATCATCGACCCATAACAATACCATATCCGCACTGTACATGCGGCCGTCTTTTTGTGAAAATCCAAGGCCAATAAAGCCACGCGTATTTACAGTTACCTTAAAGTAAATATAATTTTCCTTGATTTGCCACTCGAGCCAGTACAAGCCATTCCTGTCCATCATTTCAAGTCTCTGCCAGTTCTGATGGCGGACAGATGCGTGTGAAGCGGAATCCCTACGATCCTCATAGCTGTGGTGCGCACAGTTAACGTTTTGCCGTATGAAAACGACAATAAACCATATCCTTGCGAAAATGTGCAGCAACATTTAAAACCTGTTTTATATAGCTACACTGAGTTTAATTTTGTATCACTAAACTTGTATGTAATCTATATTAATATTTATTTGTTTATCGCTTTAATGCAGGAGCTATGCGCCTTGTGTACTGTTGCACGCCTTTTCCGCTTTAAATTGCCTTCGATACTTCGTTTATACATATACTTCCAAGGGAGGGTCATTTCACAAGCCGGCAGATGTTTCGAAGGAACTAACACACCACCTTTTCCACACAGGTATATACGATCTTCTAAAAATACATACAAATAAAAACACACATACACATATACATAGATATACATATACGCGTCGTCCTCGCTCATGTTCAACGTTAAGATAATATCGATATTTTAAGTTTCACAATATTAGCACTATCGATGTATGCAAAAGATCATTAAAGCCGACAGATACGATATTTATTGTATCGAGATGTACACAATTAATCCTAAAAATCAAATATTAAATGTTAAGCACTGTGAGATTTGTAAAATCTAAATTTTAAATTTAAAGTTACCGCTTACCATCGTTTCTATATCAACTGTAATGGTACTCTAATATCTTTCACAACATCGATAAGTTCGATAAATCATCGCCAACCACATATCTGATCTCTAGTGAGCACTGTTCAGTTGTTATTTTGGCTCCAACTTCACCGTTGCTTTTTGTTTCTTTTTGGTGGCTATGCTATTTTTCCGGCGCACACGAGTCCGCGCCTTCTAATTCGTTAAATATATCATCTCATTTCATACACATTAGTAAAATGTGCTTAGCATCATCGAGCCAGTCCCAGAGCGGCTACCATTGGCCGTAACCATTTGTCAAAAGGAGGAAATAAGCTAGACAGCAGAATGGTGAGTAAAGTCAAGTTTAAAATGCGACATTTTTGCAAACAAATTTATCTTTTATATAAATAAGATACAAACAGATTAACAGTGATTATATTTACAATTTGAATGGGATGATTGCAGCATTTTAAGAATAATACTTATAACGTTATTGAATAATTTAAAAATTATTAACTAGTTTTATGTCGCTACAAGAAGAAATTACAAATAAGTTATTATTTTTAAGGGTAAAAAGCTAAAGTTAAAGAAAGTTTGCATAAAAATTGGCTACAATGCATGATTTGCTATTATATGGACGTACACTCATAACATACCAGAAGTTTTTTTCTCACAGTAAAAAAACAATTCTCATTACATTAAAATACATTAATAGAAAATTCTAATTTGCAGTCACTGAGCCCAGGGTCTGTGGTTGGGGCATCCGAGGTCGTATCATCATAGTTGCTTTTTTCAAAGTGTAGTCCCAGCCCCGCCAACGAAACCATACAATACCCTGTCGGGCAGTCAAGTCTTGAGGATCATGCAGATAAAGTCCGTTTAATCCACGACCACATGACTTCCACCACCAGCCGCCCTGCAAACCAAAAAAAAAAAAAAAAAACAAACAAGGAATTGGTTAACTTTACAAAAGTTAAATTGTAAGTGATTTTAAAACCTTACCTTTAGCATACTTGCACAGTTGAGCGAGCTTCGATCATTATCTTTGTTGTATGTTGAGAATGGGCTATTGTTGGAGCCATACCATGGATCATTTAATGAATCACCAGCGTTTCCTTCGTATCCATCGATTTCCAGCTTATAATAATCTGCCTCCGAGTGTATTTTAAAATGCGAATACTGTGCAAACCTTCAAATTAAAACATAAAAACATTTTAATTGATATTATGATTTAATTTAATCCTTTCTGACATTTGCTAACTCTTTTATTTGGAAATTGTTTTAAACCAAATGAATAAGGAAATTAATACTCACCGCTTGTTACCTTCGAAATCCTCTAGTTCTACCCGCAATGCGTAGTCTTCATTATTTGTCAGCATATAAATATTTTCGTTGCCTAACCAAAACTCTTTTGCAGGCTCACCAAATCCATTTTTATAGTCCGCCCAATCGCGATTGAAGTTTTCACGCGGCTCTCCAAAATCATCCCGCCGTTGAATCACCTGCGATTAAGGTAATTTATTGAATTATTTTATTTAATTAAAATGAAAATAGTACATTACCGTCCAACCACCATCTGAGATACCCTGTTCACAATACACCTTTAAGAACCAATATGTTGTTCCACGAATTTGTAGGTAAAATACTCCAGACTGTTTCATGCCAGCATTTAAGATATCTACACAGGAGAAACCCTAGGTAAAGAATTTGCTTTATTAGTTAACTAAATGTATTAATTTAACTATCAACTATGATTGTAAAATGTGTATAGCTTACAATTAAAAGGTAGTTATAAGAGCGGACGATTCTTTGCCATGAACTTTGATTGAATAATGTTACTAAAAAAAGCATTTGCTTGACAGATCCCTGCTAAGTGGATGTCTGTGACCCGTCGATCACATCTTCACCAGACGAATTAACATCAAATGAAAGGAAGGGAAAGGTAACCAAGAATGCCAAGAAGATGGAAGATGAATTCCTACCCAAGCAAGATGTAATTGTCCCCCAATCAACAGTAAAAGTCATCATGTCCTGCTTTACAATGCTGAAGAATACAAGGTACTCCAGTAAAAATTTAAACGAAAGTTGTGTTCTATATTTTTCATTCTGTCCTAGTTGGCGACAATTGAAGGCGGAAACACAGCGGGAACGCCGACGAAATATCCACAGACATCAATTTTCCCTAGTCCGCATATCCTACCTTACTGGCAGTACCTAAGTCGAAGGAGGTCGTCGATGGACTACATCTTACAAATTTGAGCCGAGACGCCTCAGGAAAAGGCAGACGGCTTTACTTCCACATGGGTATGCCAGCTGCTGCAGTGCCTCCTGTTGGTGTGGACGTGGGCCTTTAGCAGGACAATGGAACAAATATTACAGTTTAAAACTATCAGAGCACAAAAAGCTTAATAGCCACTGTTAAACAAACATTTCTCCTGTAGAAATGAATCATTTTCATGTATTCTAATACTATTTATACAAGATACAATTATACTAAAAGAAATGTTTTCCTCCTCTCATCATCTCGCAGCAATATAGATTTAGAAATTCGAAAATTATTTCACATCCAACAGCTCGGAAACGGTCCACAAATATGTATGCTTTTCCTTTTAGCCACACCTCTCCCTCTCTTACCATACCATTGATAGAGTCCTGGTGAACCCACATATCTAAATCCGTGCAAAATTTGCCCGGAAGTGTGCCATGAATGTATGCGTTATCGTTCAGCCGTACCGACACCGCCTACTCCCTCAATAGTTCCTAGATGACCCAAATACCCTTGGTCTTACCATACCATTGATAGAGTCCTGGGGAACCTATAGTTCCAAATCCCAGCAAAATTCGCCGGAAAGCTTTGTCCACATTTAAATTAAGGTTTAAAAACAAACGGCTGCAAAATAACCATTACAGTGGGTCCCGGCCGTTAGCTCTCATTTTAAAATCAAAATGCAGCTGAACTACCAGGCGAACAGAAATGCCCAGCATGTTGATTTACAGAAAAACAGTCCACTTTTAACCAGAAGCTGCATCTGTTAGTTAACATACCCCTGTTAACAGCCGTTGCTACGAAGGGGGCGTTAGATTTGAACGATTATTTGTCAAAAATACCAGGCGAACAGAAATGACCAGCAGGTAGACGAGCTAAAATTTTTGTGAATCAAAAATTTCATTGCATACCCAAACTGGGCGGGCGGAGGAGCAGCTGCGTGCTCAAGATTTAATGAAAATTCGGCTGAAGTACCAGGAGAACATAAATGCCCAGTAGGCAGACGAACTAAAATTTTTGAACTCAACAGTCAACTGCTAAATTAATGAACACAAATTCCCTTAAGCTGCAGCAATGTAAAAAGGGGACTATAAGCATGAAGTATACATATTTTCGGACTGTTTCCGTGCGCATATTGCAGGGATTTCGTCCTTTAGGTTCACCAGGACTATAACAATGGTATGGAATAACCAAAGATATATGGGTCAACTAGGTACCATCGGGGGAGGTGGGGTTGTTTGTTGGGGGCGGCTGAAAGTAAAGGCATTCATATTTTTTGGCCATTTAGGTTCACTAGGACGATATCTTTGGCATGGTAAGACCAAGGATATATGGGTCATCTAGGAACCATCGGTTTTAATTGTCTGTTCGTCCGCGGCCTGACAGATACGGCAAAAAACAAAAAACTGCGAAAATGTTCTTTTTAATAACTTTAAATTTTCATATACCGGCCAAATAAAGCCCGATCCTGGCAGGATTGGCCGCGTTGAGCTCGTGAACGTCCATAATCGGAGTGTATTTTCCCCGAAAAGGATACACGTGGTTTACAAAACGATAGTCAAACTAGTTACCGGTTGCTTTACATGATTACAGACTTGGGTTTTATGAAATATATCTGCATATGTCGCTATCACCCATGCTGATTAAACTTTTCGACGCTATGGGCATTGGCGGCATCTGCCGCTTACGAGCTGCAAGCTAATTTCCCATTTGATCTTAGTTTTGCATCTCCACCTCGGGGACTTTGTGAATATCATCGCAGTGCTACCCAGAATTTGGCAAACAGGAATTGCCAATCGCTGCAGGCTCCAATATGCACTTGGACGCATCCATGCTGTTGAGGACACCATTGACCGCGTGTTTTTCACATGCATACGCTGCTCCTTAATATGGCGTGTGGTTCGTCTTCTCGTCTCCCAATAATTAATTAATAATTAGCACAATGCCAAAACTCAGATGTAAAACTGTCGTTTTTGCTTTGGTTAACACTTCCTCCTTTTATTCTATTTTTAAGACGTCCGGATAAAGCTGTGTAGCGCAGAAATCCCTTCCAACATGTGGAGTTTATATCGATGCCATCGATAATATTATTCATAAGATATCGATAGTAGTTATTACTTATGGTATTTTATGACGTTTAGTATTTTAAAACATAGACGGTCTTTCTAAGTGTGATATTTGCTACAGTTGTGATAATTTTTGTCACATACGAGTACTGATAGTTTTACTGAATGTATTTTATATCTTAAGAAGTCATTCTCGCGCCACTTGATTTCAAACGCAAATGCGACTGTTCTAATTGGATGGTTTTTTTAGTCCCACAGTATAAAAATACTTGATTGTAAAGAAATATTTCTAACATTGCTAACGGCGGTCACACTTATACATTTTCTCGAGCAAATAAATTGAATATTAATGTTGTTTGCAATAATATGCTCGCTTATAATTATTTTGAGATTTTCGGCGTGCGAAGACCAAAGTGTCGATGTCAAAAAAACTCTTGTTTGGGGACCAGGACTAAAACCTGACGACATTGTGCTGCCTGCAAGATATTTTTTTATCCATGCCGTCGACAAGACTGGGAAAAAGTAAACAATAGTAGTAAACATTGATTGTTGAAAGGAAATATAATTGGTTTCTGTTTGTATTTACAGATTTGCGTCCCGTACGTATTTAAAATTTCAAGTGCACATAAATGGACATTCTCCACATGGAAAATGTCGGTATAATATTAACCAAATTGATCGTGAAGACGGGTCCACCATTGTTCGTTACACTATTGCCGATTGGTGCGAGAATGTTGAGATTAATGTGCAATATAATGGCTCGCATGTAGCACATTCCCCTTATCTGGTTCAGAACAAGGTGTACTCGGAACGTTGCTACTGCCCGCAGGAGCTCAATCTTTGGCTGTTAAAAAATGACTGTGCCGCTTTCGAAGATGACAGACAGATATCCTGGGACTTGCACTCATTCAAGCGTGTGAACTTTAGTGCTATACGAGAAAATTTATTAAAAAGATATAATGCTCCTGAGAGTATTTCTTTGTGCCACTATGTGGTAAAAAACCAACAAATTTGGAGAAACTGCTATGGTAAATATACTGGATTCAAGATGTTTATGGATGCGACGTTGTCTGCACTGTCTCGCGTGGTTTTCCTGCCTGATATGGAATTTTATTTAAATCTTGGCGACTGGCCGCTATCGAAAAAAGGCGGTCAGCAAAGGACATCGGGCCCATACCCAATATTTTCATGGTGTGGAAGTGACGACACTTACGACATAACATTGCCTACGTATGATATTACCGAATCCACAATAGAGAATATGGGACGGGTTATGTTGGACATGTTATCGGTGCAAAAGGACGAATATTCATGGGAAAATAAAGAAGAAAAGGCTTTCTTTCGCGGCAGGGATTCACGACGAGAAAGATTGGATTTGATTGATCTGGCAAGAAAATATCCGGATGTAATCAACGCATCTATAACAAATTTCTTTTTCTTTCGTAATGAAGAGGATAAATACGGTCCCAAGGTACCGCATATATCCTTCATGGATTTCTTTAAGGTAAGTTCTTAATATTAATATAATTATTGATTTTAATACCTTTCATATTTTTAGTACAAATATCAGTTAAACATTGATGGAGCTGTTGCGGCATATCGACTACCCTATTTACTTGCAGGCGGATCTTTGGTTTTAAAACAAGATTCACATTATTACGAACATTTTTATAGTAAATTGGTACCATATAAGCATTTTGTGCCTATCAAGCGTGATCTCAGCGACGTAATCGAAAAAATAGCTTGGGCTAAAGAGAATGATGCCCGTGTTAAGGAAATCGTATCAAATGCGCGAGCATTTGTCGAAGCAAATCTTTTACCGCAACATATTTATTGTTATCACATGATATTATTTAAGGAGTGGAGCAATCGTTTAGTAGCCCCAATAGATGTGCTTCAGGGTATGGAAAAACTAAATTCGAGTTATACATGCTCTTGCAAACAAAAACAGTTTAAAGATGAACTTTAGACTTTGATCTTTTTGTACTTTTATCTATCATATTAAGTAGTAAAAATATTAAATAAACTCTTTAAATGTTTAAATGGCACTGAGCGACACTTATTCTGGGAAAAACATCAAATTGCCAACTTGGTATAGGCAATATCTATACTCCGAGAACATCGAAAATTGGTAAACAGGGATGAAGATGAAATGATATTGAATAAAACTAACATCCTTGCAATTTATATATTGGCTATACATATATTTATTATCTTTCCTCTACACTTATGTATACCCTGTCCAAACTTTAACAAGTAAGAGGTTCTGGTCGAGAGCTCCCGACTAGGGGATACCCTGAACCCTTTTCTTCCAACATCAAATGCATATATATATTCATATTAGAAGCTATATGTCAAGTTTGAGGACTCTAGCTCTTATTATTTACCAAAATTGCCCAAAAAACAGGAGCTCGATAACGATTTTTATCGATTACTTGGAAACGGAGTAAGTTATCGATTATCGGAAACAAACTCGATCTGCGCAGGCACTAGGAGCACCTACATCTAAAATTTGAATATTTCCGCGCGGAGTTATGTCGTTTTGGAACGTCATATCTCCGCGCGAAGTTATGTCGTATTGGAGTTATGTCGTTTTGGAACGACATATCTCCCCGTGGAGTTATGTCGTTTTGGAACGTCATATCTCCGCGCGGAGTTATGTCGTTTTGGAACGCCATATCTCCGCGCGGAGCTATGTCGCTTCAAAACGACATAACTTCCCGTGGAGTTATGTCGTTTTGGAGTTATGTCGTTTTGGAACGTCATATCTCCGCGCGAAGCTATGTCGTTTTGGAACGTCATATCTCCCCTTGGAGTTATGTCGTTTTGGAACGTCATATCTCCGCGGGGAGTTATGTCGTTTTGGAACGTTTTATCTCCCCGTGGAGTTATGTCGTGTTGGAACATCCATATCTCCGGGCGGAGTTATGTCGTTTTGGAACATCATATCTCCGTGCGGAATTATGTCGTTTTGGAACATCATATCTCCGCGCGGAGTTATGTCGTTTTAGAACGTCATATCTCCGAGGGGAGTTATGTCGTTTTCGAACGACATATCTCCGCGAGGAGTTATGTCGTTTTGGAACGTCATATCTCCCCGTGGAGTTATGTCGTATTGGAGTTATGTCGTTTTGGAACGTCATATCTTCCCGTGGAGTTATGTCGTTTTGGAGTTATGTCGTTTTGGAACGTCATATCTCCGCGCGGAGCTATGTCGTTTTGGAACGTCATATCTCCGCGCGGAGCTATGTCGTTTTGGAACGTCATATCTCCGCGCGGAGCTATGTCGTTTTGGAACGTCATATCTACCCGTGGAGTTATGTCGTTTTGGAACGTCATATCTCCCCGTGGAGTTATGTCGTTTTGGAACGTCATATCTCCCCGTGGAGCTATGTCGTTTTGGAGTTATGTCGTTTTGGAACGTCATATCTCCCCGTGGAGTTATGTCGTTTTGGAACGTCATATCTCCATGATGTAACCTCTTGCCATTTTGTCGATTTTATATTAAATTGGTACCATATAAGCATTTTGGGCCTATCAAGCGAGTTATGTCGTTTTGGAACATCATATCTCCGCGCGGAGTTATGTCGTTTTGGAACGTCATATCTCCGCGGGGAGTTATGTCGTTTTGGAACGTCATATCTCCGCGCGGAGTTATGTCGTTTTGGAACGTCATATCTCCGCGGGAAGTTATGTCGTTTTGGAACGTCATATCTCCGCGCGGAGCTATGTCGTTTTGGAACGTCATATCTCCGCGCGGAGCTATGTCGTTTTGGAACGTCATATCTCCGCGCGGAGCTATGTCTTTTTGGAACGTCATATCTCCCCGTGGAGTTATGTCGTTTTGGAGTTATGTCGTTTTGGAACGTCATATCTCCCCGTGGAGTTATGTCGTTTTGGAACGTCATATCTCCCCGTGGAGCTGTGTCGTTTTGGAGTTATGTCGTTTTGGAACGTCATATCTCCCCGTGGAGTTATGTCGTTTTGGAACGTCATATCTCCATGATGTAACCTCTTGCCATTTTGTCGATTTTATATTAAATTGGTACCATATAAGCATTTTGGGCCTATCAAGCGAGTTATGTCGTTTTGGAACATCATATCTCCGCGCGGAGTTATGTCGTTTTGGAACGTCATATCTCCCCGTGGAGTTATGTCGTTTTGGAACATCATATCTCCGCGCGGAGCTATGTCGTTTTGGAACGTCATATCTCCCCGTGGAGTTATGTCGTTTTGGAACGTCATATCTCCGCGCGGAGTTATGTCGTTTTGGAACATCATATCTCCGCGCGGAGTTATGTCGTTTTGGAACGTCATATCTCCCCGTGGAGTTATGTCGTTTTCGAACGTCATATCTCCCCGTGGAGTTATGTCGTTTTGGAACGTCATATCTCCCCGTGGAGTTATGTCGTTTTGGAGCTATGTCGTTTTGGAACGTCATATCTCCCCGTGGAGTTATGTTGTTTTGGAACGTCATATCTCCCCGTGGAGTTATGTCGTTTTGGAACGTCATATCTCCGCGGGGAGTTATGTCGTTTTGTAACGACATATCTCCATGATGTAACCTCTTGCCATTTAAGCATTTTGTGCCTATCAAGCATGATCTCAGCGACGTAATCGAAAAAATAGCTTGGGCTAAAGAGAATGATGCCCGTGTTAAGGAAATCGTATCAAATGCGCGAGCATTTGTCGAAGCAAATCTTTTACCGCAACATATTTATTGTTATCACATGATATTATTTAAGGAGTGGAGCAATCGTTTAGTAGCCCCAATAGATGTGCTTCAGGGTATGGAAAAACTAAATTCGAGTTATACATGCTCTTGCAAACAAAAACAGTTTAAAGATGAACTTTAGACTTTGATCTTTTTGTACTTTTATCTATCATATTAAGTAGTAAAAATATTAATTAAACTCTTTAAATGTTTAAATGGCACTGCGCGATACTTATTCTGGGAAAAACATCAAATTGCCAACTAGGTATAGGCAATATCTATACTCCGAGAACATCAAAAATGGGTTAAAAGGGATGAAGATGAAATGATTGATGCTTTTTTAATATGATTCTGTTTGATTTTGCTACAGACTAAAACACTTGAGCGATTATGTATGAAACGTAAAATGTATTTACCTTAACATCCTTTAGTGTAATTATATCATTGGTAAATGTGTTATTTACTACTGCTGGTTTGTTCTTGACACTTGGAAAGATAACGCCGCCTTTCCGAACAACTGATTTTGTCGGTGTTGTATTCCACGAAGAAGAAGATGCAGTGACTGGTGTTGCATTAACCATAATGCCCAGTATATTGTTGATATTTGTGCTGGAAGAAGTAGATTGGCTGTTCATAGCACTAGTAGGCGTGCCCAATGTTGGGTAAATAGCTGTTGACGTATTATATTTCATAGAAGATTGTGTCGTTGATGAAGGCGTTGTGGTTGGCTCATTTAAATCGGTCAAGCTTTCATCAATAACAGAGTACCTGAATGGAATTGAACAACTCTTATTTTATATAAAATATAGTAGAGTATATAAATCGTACCTGCTTGGATCGTACTCCACCAAACGATCAATAGTTGGATCTCCCAAAAGTTCACTGGGACCTGGTCGCTGTGCAAGTATTTGAACATCATCCTCTTGCTTTTTTAATCGTTTTTCAACCATATCTAAATTGTTGATTATCAAATTGGTTTTTGTTTTTAGGTCCTGGTGTATTTCTCCAATTGCACGTTCTTGCCGCTGAGTTTGTGTGAGAAGTGCATCCGATTTAGGCAATAAATGATCAACAGAAGACTTAGTACCCACCACGACGTCCCACACTTCGTCCATTTTTTCGGAAACCGAAACCATTGGACGCATTTGCTTGACAAGCGCATCAATTTTACTAGACTTAATGGCTGGAAAGGCCGTTGTTGTGACATTGAATCCGTTTAATTGCTCGTGATGATCGACAACAGCATCATGAATGTCGTTAATCATACGCAGCATACGGCCTATATTTTCCGACTCAATATTTATATGGAACTGCAATTTTTTGTCAATGTTTTCGGTTGAATCGCGCAATTGGTTGACTTCGGCGGACACATGAGTCATAACTTCGGCTGTCATTGCTTTCGTAATTTCCACAACATTCATTGTAATAGGCTTTTTCTCGCTTGCCTCTGCGTTAAATTCATCTACTTGCAAAAAGTTGTTGTCTATTTGCGTTTTCAGCACTTCAAGCTTCAAGTCAATGTCGCTGACTTTCTGATCCAACTTCACGAGCCGGCTATCGATTTGGAACGTGGAAGAGCTAGCGGTTATAGGCTTATGCATTTCACTGTCTGGACGAGCACCCGTTTCGGGTACAATGTAAACCACATTTGAAAGCTTAGAATCGAGACTACTTAGTTTCGACAGCGCCTCTTCAGTCTTTTCTACATTGTTGGTAACACGATTCTCCAGACTTTCTATGTGCTCCATTAGATCCTCCACTGATCTGCCCAGGTTGTCGATTCGTTTCAATTTTCCCTCAAGCGTTGTGATAATTATCTCAAATATACTCAGCAATTGTTGTTCTCTAAAATGAAAAATGTATACATCGCATATTTTAAAATAAAACAAAACTATAAAAATACATAGATATCGCGAATCTTCTTCTTCCACTTTGCGTTTGGGTACATGAAGGAAATCGGTCTGCGAATAAAGGGTACCTTTTTTTTTGCTACAAAACTGATAAGGATCATGCCAATAATATATGCTTATTACCACATTTTGTTTTAACTAAATTTTGAAATCCACTTCTGAATGGAAATGCGGGATTGCGATAGAACTGACATAGTTTCTTACCTCGCGTTCGGTCAGAAAGGGAAATAAAGGTTGGGTATAAATAAAATGTTCGCCAAAGAGAAGTGTGTCCCCTGGGAGAGTTTTCATTGTATATTATATTGCACTTATAGTACAATGTCAAATGGATTTTGGTCTGATCAAAATATTTAATAATTTGCATTCACTTTGGTCCAAGCTGTCTTGAACAGTGTCTGTTTTTTTGTTTTATTTGTTCATTTCCCACACTCTCGGCCACAGCAGACCGGTTTTGACTAGTTGGTGCGCAATCCAATCAACGACTCAAGCGCTTTTACGCTCATTTACGAATGTTTTTATACCCTGTACCTAATTGAGGCAGATACCAACATTATATTGCAAAAATAAATACGACTAGCATCAACAGACGAGCCCAAATAATTCTGCTTATTTTTTTCCTACAGATTTAAGAAACTTGAGGCTTTAGTTAAGAAAACCATTTGATTGACAATAAATATCGAATAGAACTAAAATCCCTGCAATTTACATATTGCCTATATATTTATTATCTTTCACCTACACTTATGTATACCCTGTCCAAACTTAAACAAGTAAGAGGTTCTAGTCGGGAGCTCCCGACTAGGGGATACCCTGAACCCTCTTCTTCCAACTTCAAATGCATATATATATTCACATTAGAAGCTATATGTCAAGTTTGGGACTCTAGCTCTTATTATTTACCAAAATTTCCCAAAAAACAGGAGCTCGATAACGATTTTTATCGATTACTTGGAAACGGAGTAAGTTATCGGTTATCGGAAACAAACTCGATCTGCGCAGGCAGGAGCACCTACATCTAAAATTTGAATATTTCCGCGCGGAGCTATGTCGTTTTGGAACGTCATATCTCCGCGCGGAGTTATGTCGTTTTGGAATGTCATATCTCCCCGTTGACTTATGTCGTTTTGGAACATCATATCTCCGCGGGGAGCTATGTCGTTTTGGAACGTCATATCTCCGCGGGAAATTATGTCGTTTTGGAACGACATATCTCCGCGAGGAGTTATGTCGTTTTGGAACGACATATCTCCCCGTGGAGTTATGTCGTTTTGGAGTTATGTCGTTTTGGAGTTATGTCGTTTTGGAACGTCATATCTCCCCTTGGACTTATGTCGTTTTGGAACATCATATCTCCGCGGGGAGTTATGTCGTTTTGGAACGTCATATCTCCCCGTGGAGTTATGTCGTTTTGGAGTTATGTCGTTTTGGAACGTCATATCTCCGCGGGAAGTTGTGTCGTTTTGGAACGACATATCTCCGCGCGGAGTTATGTCGTTTTGGAGTTATGTCCTTTTGGAACGTCATATCTCCCCGTGGAGTTATGTTGTTTTGGAACGACATATCTCCGCGCGGAGTTATGTCGTTTTGGAACGTCATATCTCCGCGCGGAGTTATGTCGTTATGTCGTTTTGGATTTATGTCGTTTTGGAACGTCATATCTCCCCTTGGACTTATGTCGTTTTGGAACATCATATCTCCGCGGGGAGTTATGTCGTTTTGGAACGTCATATCTCCCCGTGAAGTTATGTCGTTTTGGAACGTCATATCTCCGCGCGGAGTTATGTCGTTATGGAACGTCATATCTCCGCGCGGAGTTATGTCGTTTTGGAACGACATATCTCCGCGCGGAGTTATGTCGTTTTGGAACGACATATCTCCCCGTGGAGTTATGTCGTTTTGGAGTTATGTCTTTTTGGAACGTCATATCTCCGCGCGGAGTTATGTCGTTTTGGAACGTCATATCTCCGCGGGGAGTTATGTCGTTTTGGAACATCATATCTCCGCGCGGAGCTATGTCGTTTTGGAGTTATGTCGTTTTGGAACGTCATATCTCCGCGCGGAGTTATGTCGTTTTGGAACGACATATCTCCCCGTGGAGCTATGTCGTTTTGGAGTTATGTCGTTTTGGAACGTCATATCTCCCCTTGGACTTATGTCGTTTTGGAACATCATATCTCCGCGGGGAGTTATGTCGTTTTGGAACGTCATATCTCCCCGTGAAGTTATGTCGTTTTGGAACGTCATATCTCCGCGGGAAGTTATGTCGTTTTGGAACGACATATCTCCGCGCGGAGTTATGTCGTTTTGGAGCTATGTAGTTTTGGAACGTCATATCTCCGGGCGGAGTTATGTCGTTATGGAACGTCATATCTCCGCGCGGAGTTATGTCGTTTTGGAACGTCATATCTCCGCGCGGAGTTATGTCGTTTTGGAACGACATATCTCCCCGTGGAGCTATGTCGTTTTGGAGTTATGTCGTTTTGGAACGTCATATCTCCCCTTGGACTTATGTCGTTTTGGAACATCATATCTCCGCGGGGAGTTATGTCGATTTGGAACGTCATATCTCCCCGTGGAGTTATGTCGTTTTGGAACGTCATATCTCCGCGGGAAGTTATGTCGTTTTGGAACGACATATCTCCGCGCGGAGTTATGTCGTTTTGGAGTTATGTCGTTTTGGAACGTCATATCTCCATTGCCATTTTGTCGATTTGGGTCAAAATTTTGAGTTAAGCAGAGATGCTTCCTTCTGCCTGTTACATACATTTGGATTTTGCACAAATACAATATACCCTTATACTCATTTTTAATGGGTTGAGGGTATAAAAACGAATTTTTTTTTTAGATTCTAAGGCGAAAGGGAAGAGAGGCATGTCAAAAAACATGTAAAAACATAATAATTTGGCCATGTTTTGTGTAGTGCTTACAAATTTCAGATCAATGTTGAATTTTATTGATATATTTCTAATCGGTCGAGATTTTGACAAAAGAGGTAACCCCGTTTGTATAGGAAAATACATATTTCTGAGATCGAAAAGTTCCCACAGACGGAGAGACAGACGGACATTGGCAAATCGACTCAGAGCCTCTTTCTGATTAAGAATATATATACTTTAGACATACTGTTAGACATACTATATTCTGAATTGTAAGAGAGCAAGAATTCGACTAGAAGCTATTCTCAACTCGTTGAGCATCTAGTTTCAAAAATCTCAACTTAACTTTGTTGTTTTTGTTCAGATCTATATAAATTTAAAAACAAGACAACGTAGTCTTAAAATCGATATTTATTTATAGAGTCTTAGTTGGAATTTTTCTTTACTCAACAAATGAAATACTTGAGCAAATTTTGTAAAACCCTAGATATAATAAAAATGCAGAACTTTCAAATCGACGCGCAACAGAAAAATTTGAAATTTTATTTTGGTTCGAAGTTCTCCGCGTTCCACAAACGGACAGAAACGTCTAGATTGAATCGAACATTGAAAAACAGGGTATAATTATAAAGTTGGTCTGGTTCTATGCTTCAGGCCACTAGCTTTTGTAACTCCGGGTTAGACGCGGTCTCCAAGGCAGAGAGATAGCAATACATGGCTTGTTTGACGCAGATTTTCGCACGGATCGAAGGATATATATATATATACGTGATGGCGTATCCTTTTTGAGCTCTCATTATCCTAAATGCAGGACATCATCAGGGTTTCAAATTCTTTTTCAAATTAACACTTTTGATATTCAACAATAAATTTATATGTTAATTTCTGCAATAAGATGTACTTCTAAGTTTATATCTTTTTATAAAATAAACATAAATTACGGCTGTCAATGGGCAAACTTGATGGCTTAAATGAGTGTAAATCAATTGGCGTAAACGGCATTTAATCTCAAGGAGCTTCGTAATTGTGTTAATTTAAGTAAGTTTCGAGAAAACGAGATGCATTCAAGTCTTAAATGAACTAGCCTGGTATACTTTTGGGAGCTAGCATAGATATTACATTTTCGAGCATTATATTTTCAACTAGTTGGCTGTTAACAAAATGAATTACATAAAATTACAAACGGCGAATCGTAGTAGATAGTGGTAGACACACAAGTATGTATTTCCACATGTAATGACTTATATTAGCTTTTTTTTTCTTTTCGTTTTTCATTCATATTAGTATGTGCCTATAAAAACTTCAGTTAACCAGTGTGCAAAAAACCAGTTTGTTGCCGCAATCTTTTGTTTTGATCATTTGATTTCACACAAAAGCGCGCAATGTACATAAGTTTATGAACAAAGCTGTGTAGAAAATATTTTTCAATGTGTGTTTACATTGCATCTATATATATATACATACATATATATATATATATATATATATATATATATATATACATATTTAGATGTACATAATATAAAATTATAAAACCTTACCTCGTTCGCAAGTTTCCATTACGCGTCGAGTTTAATGTCTTTGCAGCAAGCTTAAAGCTTGCCGCAGCGGTAGCCCCGCTATTTATTTGGCTAGCACTAGTTCGCGGCAGCGCTAGGCGTAAATTCGAATTCGAATTCGCATTTACCGCAGGGGTGCGCGCCGTACCGCCAGCGGAGTGAGTGGCTGCGAATGTGCCCGATTGTGTATAGCTCGATAGTACGATATTTGCGATCAAGAGTACGACTGTAAAAGACAGCCGGCCCCTGAATCGTTTCTGCAAGGGTATCATTACGGCGAACCACGAATTCAAGCCTCTTTCTTGTATTGGCTGAATTTATTAATTATGCTTTGAACACTTTGCAATAAGGTTAATGTTTATAATATATATGTGTATATTTATATATATGTTCACATATATTGGTTGAACAGCTCAATGGACTACAAAAGAGCAGCAAAAAAGCAGCGCATTGAAAAATCTTGTAACTATCTAGTTTGAAGTAGACCTTTGCAACAAATATTTTCTTCACATTTTCACTGAATACATACATAAATTTGTTAGCCGAGCTTTGCGCTGCAACACGTTAATACATAACGAACTGCTTTGAACAGTTAAATTTTAACACTTTTTAGCAAATCAATGGGCATTATTTTCAAATCATATATCATTTTTAGCTTCTACAAATGCAAATGCTTATTTACTTATAAATAAATACGATAAGTGTATACCGTTCATATTTGTGGCAAAAAAAAAAAAAATATAACTTGATTATTTTGTAAACTGCGATTTGGCTATTCAATTGTTGCAAAAATATTGTACATATATATACATTTATTTAATTACTTATTTAAATAAATATATGTATATATATATATAGTGTACCAAAAACTACATAACTTCATGTGCACATTCTCTTCTGAAAAATGGTGGCGATTTTTGCGTGTTTCATGAGGATTTTATCTTATATATTTATATATTGTATATTATTATATTTAAATGACGATCAGCAATTATTGATAGACAATAAAATTGTAATTGATATTTAATAATTCACAACCGAACATATCCGTAGGTGAAACTTTTCTGTACCCGAGACGTGCTTAGATCTCGATTTGTCTGAGATACAATGCAGCTCGCTGAAAGTTCGGCCCTAATTAACGGAACAGCAACTAGCAGCTTTACAACATATAGAGAAACTCACCACGCAGAGAGCAAAAGTGGAACTCGTTTTCTGGGTCTAACGAAAGTGAGAGTGGTTATGATGCATTTACTTGTATGCTTGTTTGCCGTTTAGCTGCTCTAAAAGCGTGTGAATGCTCGGCCTGCAACTATATAAGTATATACAAAAAATTATACTTTTAAGCAAATACCATATATACGTGTACATATTACAGCTGTAAACTGCAGCACACCATATATTTATTCTGCAATTGCCATTTCCAGCTACGCGGTATCCATTGCATGCCTGTGCATATATGTTGAAGCAAATGCTTATATTGATTTTAATTTCATTATGACTAAAAGTTTTCAGTCTAAACTGTGCGTAAACTGATTTTGTTATTTACCATTTGCACTATTTGGGCTATCATAATTCATTATTTATTTATTTACATACGTCCACATCGCATTTTATTGCATACTTTTGAAAACTTCATGCTCTGCTCGCACTTACTGAGCTTCGTTTGTCGAAAGCCGCAAGGTATGCAGTGGGGCGGAGGAAATATGAGCTTTACGTAATGAACCATAACGGTAACAGGGCATGTGTTTGATTTCGTATAATGAAAATAAATGCGCAAAATATGATATAACAAAAACTTCACTCTGAAAGCTTCTGTGATCGCAACGATCTTGAAAGCTACAAAAGCTGTTTTCCTATTCCACACGCAGCAAATATTTCGATATTTTTTTTTCCATTTCCCTTATATCGCACAAAATGGATTTTGAGACATGTCTTACATGAGCTAGAATCACGAAACTTGTTGTTAAGATTCGCGTACATAATAAAGTTTAAAAATAATTCCTCTTTTTGATGCCGCCCACCGCCCACCATTCCACACAAAATTAAAAATGCAATTTGAATTTGTACTAACTTTAGGCGTGCTCACGTGTGTGTATGCAGTTTTCTTTTTGTGTGTGTATGCACCGAAAGAAGCTACGAGGTTTGTAGTGGCAGTTTGGCTCTGACAGGGTACAGGGTATCCTCAAGTAGTGCACTCCAAACTGGTAAATGAATGAAAATTGGTAAAAATTAATTGGTAAGTTATAATTTATGTTACAGACAGATAGAAGCAATTGGGAACTCGTAAAGCTTATATATTCCTGATTATCATCAATAGACGACTCGATCTAGCCATGTCCGTCTGTCTGTTCGTATATATAAATGCTTCGATCCCAGATTTACAGAAATTATGAAAGAAGTTTTTCATTCCGTTTCCTAACAATCGATAAATATCTGTACCTAAATCCTGTTTGAAGGATAACAAAGGTGAGGAACTGATAACAACTAGAAAAAAAGACACTTCTTATCCACTTCAAATTCTCAGATAGTATCCCATTTCCGGTCTCAGACGTACCCACTCAATCTAAGACGAAATCCTTATCCTTGTTTTCCTTAGATTGGTCTGTTATCCCTATCCTTGTTTTCCTTAGATTGGTCTGTTAGTGGAACTAAATCCCGACCTAATCCTGTGTCGGCAGTCATGGCTCCTCTCCAGATAATAATAATTTTCTACATTGCAATTTAGTTTTTAACTTTATTATTTGTGTCAACGAACTTGAGTAAGCCCTCGTTTCCTTTGGAACTGAAAGTAAGCTAAAATCGTATTACCCATTTATTTAAACAGTTCCATTTACATTATTTGTATGTACATAAGGTTTTTTATTATAAAATATTGTGTCATTTTAAGTATCTTTTATTATATGTATATTTTTTTTTGTGTCTCATTGGATTTTATGTTCAAAAATTTATTTCCTGGATTTTTTCTTTTTCTTTAAGATTTTCTTTTTTTTGCTTTTTACATCCTTTTGCTTTTCACTTCTTACTGATTCTGTTGACGAACATTTTTTTAAACTTTTAAGTTTCTTAATTTTTTTATCCTTTCGTTTTTTATATTCAACTGGATCCGTTGTTGGAGGTGTTACATCTTTGATTAGGCTATCGAATTTTGGAACTTTATTACTACACGAATTATTTTCATCAAATTTTCTAAAAGGATTGTCCGGTCGACAGGGCCTTGACGCAATCGACGAAATAAGCCGCGGTTCCACCGATTTAAAATGCGTATGAGTATTACGATCTGCATCATATTTTTTTCGCTCACTTCTTGTATTTTTTGAGGTCAGCTTGTCCTTGAATTGTGGCTTGTTTTTGTGAGTTTCCGAAAAGTGGGATTCTTTTTGGGTTGTATTTCCGAACTCATGATCATGAGAGGAGCGATTTCTATGGTCATCATATTTTCGTTCTGCTGTTACCACGCGTTCTTTTGAATCCTTCTCCTTTTTTCTCGAATTATAGCCCGTAGAATTATATTTGTATTTTTCATCATTCACATTTTTCACCGAGCTATCTCTTCGATAATTCTTAGATCGTTCTGACGAGTAATTTCGTTCACTTACAACTTTGTTGCCTAATCTTTCCTTAACGGATTTATTTAAAGATTTCGGGGAATGCGAGCGATCTTTATGATTACTTTTGTAAGAAAGGGTAGGATCTTTACTGCTATGCTTAGAGTCTATTACTACCTTAAACTCAACGGGTCTTATAGCATTTATAGCTTTTGCAAAAATTGCGTTTTCTGCCTTGCGAATAACATCAGATGTTATTTCTGAATGCTCTTGAATTTTATTTGATCCCATTTTTTTACATGGATCCAATAAATTATTGATCAAATTATTATCATCCATTTCCCATTTTGATATTTGGACATCATTTGCTTCAGAAATGTTGCTTGACATATTTTCTCTATTTAAATCCTGATCCGAAATCTCCATATTTACAATAGTTTCTTTCCTATGTAACGCATTTTGATCAATGGAATCGGATATCTTTTGATTTAGATTATTTGAGCCATTTTCAATGCCATCGCAAGCATCTATATTTAAATCTATGCCAGAACATTTTTCTGGTGTAGGCTCAACGCCTTCCAAATAGCCTTTTTTGTTTTTGTCCTTTTTGTCCCTCTTTTCTTTTTTATTCTTCTTACGCTCTGATTTATCCTTTTTCTTCTTTTTTCGCTCTTTAAGATTAAGTTTGATGTTATTTTCTTTTTCCATATTGTTAATGGAATCCAATTGATCTTGTGACTGCACAGCAATTTTATTTTTATCTGGACTGTACAATTGAGTACTCTGATGTTTTTCAATTCTTTTTGAATCTTCTCTTCTATCTGGTGTTTTTGGAGAGCCTTCATACGTTTCTGTACATTCAGTTCTAGCAACTTTGGGAGTCTTACTCTTTGCCGGTGGCGTTAGGCTTCTAGAAGTATTATCAACTGCTTTGACTTCGACGTTCTTACTATAATGTCTTTGTCTTTTGAGAGAAGTATTTTCATCTTTTACACTTTTATCGATATCCGTATTTTCCGTCTTATTATTAATGTGAACGTCATTGTCAGCTAAACTCTCAATTTGCAAAGATTCAAACCCAGGAGGTGGAGGCTCAACGGTTTCTGTTTTGGTTCCGTAAGGTTTGTTCACAGATTTTTCTCCTGTCCGAGGTTTATATCCGGGTCTGGGAGATGGTGAACGATGGTGTACATATCTGTAAAACAAGAAAATTAAAATAAATTAAGCTTTATAAAACTAGGAAATCTTTTCAAAACATCCGACCACAATATTTTGAAGTGCTGGATTTGGCTTTACTTAGTAATGTACAAATTTTAAGTTAAACCGAAAAAAATAGTGAGGATTCTCCTAGACTTTATTATATATATATATATATGTGAGAAGAATAAGTAATGAGTTAACCTTTCCCACTATTTACTCCCTATTTATATGGAGAAAAAAAGACGGTCAGAAACAGGCAACATGCATCTACGGCTCAAATAACAAAACGAACAATCTTCTAAAATATCTTGTTACTTATAAGAATGGGCGTTGCTTTTGAATATAACAAAAAAAAATATTGTTCCCCTTACATTGAAATATCGTCACCTTAAATGCACACGCCTTTTATAATTATGATAATCTTTGCATGGGTACAAAATAACCAAATTTCGATTAATTTCCAGCTTACATTGTCCGAGTATGTTTGGTTGAAACCGACGATTATGGGCGGAAAGGCATGATTAAAAATAATTATAAATACCTTTGAGAACATCTCCTAGATTATAAGAACTAGTCGCTAAACTTTGCTTATAGCTTATCTTATATATTCACGCAAAATTAAATATATGAGAATTTCAATAATTTTAAGGCTGATGTCAAGATTGGCTAAGAAACATAGAAGTTATTAAGGAAGAGACGTGGTCATATCTGCATACCCACGTGCCAACCGAAACAATTATTGATTTGTTGTCGGTTTCCCATTTAAAATCTGTGTTTATTCACTTAATGGAAAAAAAGTTTAGTGTATCTCCTAATCGGCCCCAACTCTTCTCAGTTTTACTAATCAATTTTCAAAAATTTTACTTTTGTAATCAACTAATAAGATAATAGCTTTGAATCAATATTATTGCGAAACTTTATTAACCATATCATTGACCCTCTTTATACCAAGAAGGAAATGATTTTCCA